CCATATGTGTTTATTGGCCAGGTTGGCACAATAAACTAACTATATCATTTTGATTTATCTATTGTCTGTGTTATCCAGGGTTCTCTAGAGAAACAAAACCAGGACATTCATGAATATAGATATAGATATAACATGATGAAATAAACAGCTAATTAGTCCACAGACCAGTACAGAGGGCTCAGATCAACTCACAGCCACGAGATAGTTAATATACTGGCAGTCCTTCAACTCATGAGGGCTGTTGGGTGCAAGTCAAGGAAGCAGACAGCTGAGCCTTCTGTTTAGCAGTATAGACAGTCCGGCCACAGGCAGCAAAGAGCAGGGCAGGTCACCAACAGTCAGCCAGATGGCAGGGTCCGACAGATCCCAGCTCAAGTGATGTACACACCAGCATTGTGGCAAGCAGATCTTGAAGGAACCCCAAACTATAGCAACACAGTCCACGAGTTGGGTGTCCCACAGGTAGGGTAGCTCCCAAGTTGAGGCAGAGAACTAAGTCAGCTGCACACTGGTCCACTCATCAGCGAGCAAGAGATTGATAGGCTAGTCTCACAGAGCCATTTATCTCTTTGCCCTTCAATTAAACTTCAACCGTATTAATCCCACATGTGTCTATTCACCAGGTTGGCAAAATAACCCTACCTATCACAGTCTCCTCATAAGTATTTTTGTTTTATCTTGCACAGTTCCTATTTTAATTGTTTTAAAATAATGAATGGTTCATATGAACAGAATGCTTACTTCCTTAATTTTTTATTACTCACGTAAATGTATTTTTATATGTTGAGCAAGCATTTGTTGACCTTATTCAAATTATTTATGGGTTCTAAAGCCAAAATATGGTTATAGAGTGTATTCCAACTGATAGTGACCCTGTAGGATAACTTTCCAAGGCTGTGGGGGGCATTGCGGAAAGCCCTGTCAGAGGGATAAAGAGACAGATGGGAAAGACAAATCAAAAGAGGGCAAAGGAGCAAACACATCTAGGGAAACACAAAGGCATGTCTTTTCCTAGTAAAAGAGAGAGGATCGATCCACAGATGCAAGGAAGAATTACTGAAAATTATTTTTGGGACACTAGGAATGGGGACTGATTTTGGTGGCATGCAACAAATGGGCCACATGGATCTCGGGAGGCTTGGAGCATCTCGGGGAATCAGACCAGGTGTCAGGCAACACTGGGTCACTGAATCCTGGATCTTCAGGGTGATCTGTGTGCTCCAGGGGCTAGCCTGTAAGATCCCTACTTCAGACACACTTGTAACCTGAGTACTTAAGCTGGAAAAATATTGTGTCTGAGGAAGCTAGGAACAGCTGTACCATGAGTGGTGAACTGTTGATAGGTAGGCAAGATTCTGCTTCAGCAACACCCTGCATCCTGTATTAAGAAATCTATCATTCTGGGAAACAGGAGACGGACATTCTGATGCATTTTGTTTATGCCTATACAAAGTAAGGTGTATCTTAGAGGTACTTGTTGAGGTTCACCCTAGGGAAGACGGTTATTTGTTTGCTATGTTTTCAATAAATGAAACCCAGGATAGATGAATCTATAGGGACAGCAAATATATTAAGAGTATAGGGGGGTGGGAGTTCAAGGCAGGATGGGAGGAAAATGGGAGACGCTATCAAGGAGACCAGGGAGGAAATGTATGTTGGGAAACTGATTAGGAAGCAATCGTACAATTCTATTTGACACAATTGAACTAGGGAATGATATGACATAAGTATTAATCCCCAAATAATAAAAAATTAAAAGGAAAAACAAACAGGCAAACATAGATACAGAAACAGGGGTTAAGCTCACACTAAATCCTAGTGGCAACTTAAGAATAATTAATTGTTACATGAGGACCCTGCTCGATACTCGCCCTTAGGAAGAAAATATGGGTGGTATAGCAAAATGTGGCGAAGAATGTTGATGGTGCCTGGCTGGCAGATAAAATAGCATCTTGAGTCCTAACGGCTTGTTTCCAGAAAAGCTGTCATCTGAGTGACAGGTCAACTAAATCAGCATGGAAGCACACCATCATCAGTGACAGAAGGATGGTAAAATATACAATCTGGTGTTCAAGGAGGGGCTAGTATTGAGCCTAAATTGTGAGAACCTGGTGTACAGAAGGCTATGGAGAATAGTGGGAGCCCAAGATACATTTGTGAAACTATGTAGGAAATAAGTCTCTGGAGCTTCAAGTGAAAGTAGGAGAGCTTATTTCCCAGGGCCTACATGGTCACAGTTTGATGATCCAGGAGGAGCTGATAGAATGGGCTACTGGATTTGAAGAGGTTAGATGAACTCATCAACTACATCCCCCCGAAGAGACACGATATGAGGACAAGAGCATAACCAAATAACTCACTAAAAAATCTGTATTAATAATATATTGTTAACTTATTGTTGGTACCAAAGGATTTTAAAGAACAATTTTAATTATGGAGATCTCATGTTTTCCAGAGTAGAATTGGTCCATAGTTAATTATTGGCTGGAATCTTTACAGAAGTGGGTGGTGAGGGTTTTTTTTGTTTTTGTTTTGTTTTTTTTGCACCACTGGGTGGATTAGGACTGACTGCATGCGACCAACATTGGCCAGAATCAATTTGAGGAAGCCATATTTGCATCTATCTCCTTGAAGTAGATTCTGAAATATGAACTGATTTTAAAAAGTAGTTTAGTAACTGCATAGATAAGCAGAAAGAGTATTTATTTTAAAAAAGCAGTAAATACTAAAATCTGGAACAAATAGAAATGGATCTTAAAGACAGCAAATGATAAGATGGTGCATAGTAATCTAACTGCATCCACAATAATCCACTTCTCAATTGAGGGTTTTTTTTTCATCTGTTTTACTTTGTTATTCTACTAGTCTTTGTTGTTGCTGATTTTTTTGGTAATGTTTTTCTGTATCTGAAATCCAGGATAGAAAAATCTATAGAAACAGTACCTCGATGACTGGCTCCTTGGTATGGCAGGGGTGGTTGGGGGTAAATGCAGAGCTAAGAATAATGAGGAGAAAAATGAAGAAAATGTTCTAAAACTAATGGTGGTAATTATTGTACAACTCTCTGGATATGACTGAACTACTGTATCACATGATTTGTGAATAGTATGCTAATTAAAACTGTTTCGAAAAAGAAAAGGAAAAGAAAACCCCACGAGGAAGAACAAAAAGAATATTTACTGAGGGTGGTTGAAAGTTTGCTGTTTGAGATGCACAACAAATAAGACAAAGCCCTAAACCGATTGCTTTCCAGTTGATTCCGACTCAGAGCTGTCCCATGTGACAGAGCAGACCTGGGATCAATAGGGTTTCATTGACTTGAATCGATATAGAAGCAGATTTCCCACAGCTTGTGGTGTTTCTAAGTGGGTTCAGAGAGCCAAACGTTCAGTTAGTAGCTGAGCACCCTCAGCCCCGCCCCCCCGCCCCCAAGGGACTTCTGTGCACAGAAACTGGGCAGGACATAATCTGGTGACAAAGAATTTTAATGACTCATACAGACAATTGAAACTGGCTTTACTCATTTTTTACCCCCAGCACGGAAATTGTATTCTATTTGACTTGCATCAGCAGGACGGATCCTCATATTGTTTTGAGACCCCTGTGTGCATCCGTTATGGAAAAATTTCAAAAATAAGCTTTGAGGAATTGAAAGCAATGTAGAGGACCTCTGGCATACAACAGTTAAACATTTGCTAGTTGGAACCTATAGGAGATGTAAGAGGAAAAAACAAGGGCTGTTAATTTGCTTCTGTAAAGATTTGCTTCTGTCTTTGAATCCAAATGGACAATTGCACTTTGTCTAATAGGGCCATTACGAGTCAGGATCCCTTGACAACAACAAGATGCTACTCAATACCACATAATAAGAACAAAATTATATTTGTCAATATTATTATAAGATACTATTCCTTCAGACAGTATTATTGA